CCCCCCCCCCTGCCACTGACCCGCTCCCTGCGTCGTCTTAATTCTCACAATCATGTGAGCCGAGCGCGAGTGGCCTGGGTCCATGTCCTCCCTCCCGTGTTAAAGACTGTGAGTGCCCACCTTATCTATGGATCGTAGATATTGTTGTGATGGTGCCTTCCAAATAGGTTAAACGTGTAGTCATTCTGTTTGGCAATATAACGTGTGATTTCAGGATGCTTTGACCCGTGGATAAAGTCTTGTGTGCCTGTGAGACCAACCCTTGGTTGGTCCCAGATCCGTTACCCCTATAAACCCAGATCCTTGCACATCTTAGGGCCGAGGTGTGAGAATGAAGGGAGACGACAGTGAAGGGAATGGGAGTGTGTGCCCCCCTCAGCTGACTGTCACGGGGCAGCATCTCAGCCGGGGGTGTGGCTCTGGGGCACGTTCCCCTCTGCACCAGGCAGGCGTGTGGTCACTCAGAAACAACTACATCCAACGACTGTGCCAGCCAGCAGAAGTCACCTCTCATTTACACTTAATCAGTTAAAGCAGCTGCTACTTGGAAACCTAAGTCCAGAGTTGAACCTCTCCCCAGCAGTTCTGCTGGAATTGCCAGCAGGATAGCAGCTCCACAGGAGATTCCCCCCAGGTCTTACTCACAGAGACGGTGGAGCAAGCAAACGGGACTCTGTGCTGCAGGCCCTTCAACAGCCGGTGGCTCTTACGTTAATTAAAGCGCACGGATGGGTCTGAACATGCCCCAAGCCTTAATAAACAGAGCTAACTTTTGCAGCTCAGATAAAATTAACTGTGCATTTGGAATTTGGAAAGGCATGAAGAAGAATTCTGTGACAAAAGCCACAAATGGATCCCTCAACTTGCCGGTGCAGGTACGGCAGGCAGCACCTTGCACTGGGTGTCCCCCGGTTCAGAGGACCCAAGGTGATATCCCTGTGGGGAGGGCCGCTTGTGTAAAGCACTCCATTTGCTCGACGAGGCCCCACCTGAGGCTTTGGGGTGAGGACGCACCCTCCGTCCCGGCCGCCTCCAGCCTCCGGAATGTGAGGCTGTCCTAGAGGCGGGATTCCGGCTGAGGATGCTTTCCAGTGTCAGCGCTGAGAAAATAAGAAATACCACAGTGTAAGCCAACTTCTGAGACAGGAACCAAGCGTGCTGGTTTCTAGACCTTCAGAGGTAACACGTGTTTGGTCTGGCTGTAATGCTTCGATGCTGGGAGACCAAGCACATGGCTTTCGTTCTCCAGATGGAGCTGGCGTAGCTCGCTTTACCTCTGCCTGCTGCCACCAAGCAGCTGTCACCTCCGTCCCTCCATCCCCAGCCTCACCCAACATCTCAAGTCCCTGGGCACAGCAAATGTGCCACCCAACATCCAGGAGCAAAGGTGACAGGCTGGAAGGAGCCACAAAGATGACAAACCTCGGACCAGCAGACACTGGATGGAGCTCAGCGAGCTCAACCCCCGAGCCCACAGGTGTGAAAACTGAGACCCTGAGCAGCGTCTCCAGGCGGTCATGCACAGGCCCAGCCCCCTCCCACCCCCCGTTGCTCATTTCATCTGTTCAGTGTTGGCTGGGAGCCAACAGCTGGTGCCAGGAGCTGGGGACACACCAGCGACCAAGCCCTGGCCCTGCCCTCAGAGCCTGCAGCCTCGCAAGAGGGTTACGTGAGAAAACGGCGGGTCTGCCGAGTGCGACACATGGGGAAACAGGTGCTGCAGGAGGGGACGGTGAGGGTCAGGGGAGGCCTCCCCAGGAAGGGGGCTTTCAGATGAAACATGAGGCGGGTGGGCTGGGCAGAAGGCAGGGAGAGGAGCTCTCCAGGCGGGAGGGGCAGCACGTGCGAAGCCCTGAATCAGGAAAAACAGTGCAACCCAGGGAACTAAACGAAGCCCAGGGTGGCTGGTGGCGAGGCTGGGTCGGGAGGCGGGGACCCGAGGCCTGCAAGAAGCTAGTGGGGTTTTTAAGCAGGATCTTGTCTGTATTTTTAAAAGGTCACATTGCTATAGCGGGAATAGGATGCAGGGCAGCCAGCTTTTGGTGCGAGAAATGTGGGGGTCAGATTGAACGCTTGTAGTCCAGGCAAGAGATGGTGGTGGCTTCACCTAGGCCGGTGATGTTGGAAACAGTCAGCATCACCCTGAGAAGAACTTGCCCTGGCCAGGGTTCTCCCAGGGGGCAGGAGACACGTGGGGCAGAGACGCCCTGCAGAGCCCTCCAGGCCAGTCTAGCTTAGGTCAGTTGGCTTTAGCCACCCCTTAACTCTGTGATCAATAATCAACTATTGTCTAAGGCACTGAGCTTTGGGGTGGTTTGTTATGAAGCAGTGACAAACTAATACAGAGAACTAGTAGAAAACCTTAATTTATTACTTAGGGCCACAGAGCAAACTTTGAAGAGTAGGCAGGCAACCTCAGCCAAAACTGTGGGTCTCCTGTGCAGGGCCATTTCCACGAGTATCTTCAGGGCACAGGTGTCATGTGTCTTACAGACAAAAGGGCTTGCTAACTACTGGACCCCACTGGGGGGTACATTAAGAACAAAACAGCACCCAAAAAAGAAAGAAAAGAAAATAGAGTCAACAGGACTACCGACTGCGTGGATGTGAGGTGTACAGGGGCGTAAGGGGCATCCAGGAGGAGCCCCAGGTTTGGGGCCAGGGTGGCTGAGCAGACGTAGGCCACCACCTGAGACAGAACAGGAGGGGACACTGTCTGACGCTTTCTCCTCCTGCTAGGTCCAATCACCTTCAAGTTCAAACAGAAAGTGTAGCGTCTACAAATGTGTCTTTTACCTCCAAATGTTGAAAATATCATTTCTGTAGATTCGTTTTATTTTTTTAAAAAAATCCACTGGAATAAAGCAGTTTGAAAGACCCTTATAAAGAGACTTTCCCCTTAGCTCTCTGAAGAACAGATATTCTTCTATAGGTTAAAGCCTATAGATATATATCATCATTGGGAACAGGACGAGTAGGGGAAATTTTTCCATATTTAGCAAAAGGTGACAGGAGATTAAAAAAACAAAGGGCTGAGGAAAGTTGGTCGACATATTCTGAGAATGTGAGACTAAAGAATGAATGAAACTAAAAGGCACAATTAAACCTCAACAAGTATATACAGAAAGTACACAAGTACATATTAGAACAGAAGGGGCTGCTTTTTGTTTTTGTTTTTTTTTTTTGCGGTACGCGGGCCTCTCACTGTTGTGGCCTCTCCCATTGCGGGGCGAGGGGTGGTTTTTTTTTTTTTTTTTTTTTTTTTGCGGTACGCGGGCCTCTCACTGTTGTGGCCTCTCCCATTGCGGGGCACAGGCTCCGGAAGCGCAGGCTCAGCAGCCATGGCTCACGGGCCCAGCCGCTCCGTGGCATGTGGGATCTTCCTGGACCGGGGCACGAACCTGTGTCCCCTGCATCGGCAGGCGGACTCTCAACCACTGCGCCACCAGGGAAGCCCGGGGCTGCTTTTTTATGAGGCACTTCATGCAAACTGTTGCCCGCTTTCTAGATGAAAGGGTAGCTCAGGTATTGAGGCCAGGCTACACTTGTAGCAACAGCTGAAGA